TAGTTGCATATTAACTAAGTATGTTTTTTATGTTTTGCAGGAATATCATCTCTGCAACGATGGGCTAAGAGTATAGATTTGAGGAATGGAGTTCTTGGAGACGTTCTCAAAATTATGAAGCTGAATGGAGAAGGTATGCATAGTTATGAGAAGCTCACGGTTTTAATGTTTGATGAAGTTAAAGTGGCTAGTACTCTAGAATATGATGTTGTACGTGATGAAGTTATCGGTCCTCACAGTCAAATGCATGTAATAATGGCCAGAGGTATTGCATCAAATTGGAAACAACAAGTATATGTTGATTTTGATAAGAAAATGACTAAAGAAATTATATTTGATGTAATAGAAAAACTTGATGAAATTGGTTTCAAAACAATTTGTTGTGTAAGTGACTGCGGAGGTGGTAATATTGGCTTGTGGAAAGCATTAGACATTAACTACGAAAACCCTGTTTTTTTTTCTATCCCAAATGGTAGAGAAATAGTTTATGTCCTAGATGTACCTCATATTTTAAAACTTTTGAGAAATTGGCTGCTTGATACAGGATTTTTAATAGGAGACCAAATAATTAACAAAAAACCACTTGAATCATTGATTAGTAAAACATCTACAGAACTTAGTGTATGCCACAAACTGAACAATGAACATTTAACTTGTGCTGGACCGCAGAGACAAAAAGTTCGTTTAGCGTCACAACTATTGTCACATACAACTGCGATTGCATTGCTGCACTATAAACCTATTGAAGACAATAAATTACTTGAAGACACCGCCAATTTCATAGAATTAATTAATAACTGGTTTGATTTGATGAATGTTCGTCATCCAAATGACAAACGTACACCGTTCACTACACCTTATGGTTTAGCTTTGGAAGAACAAGATCTTCTTCTTAACAAAATGTATGACACAATTTTTTCAATGAGGTGCACCGGGAAATTTGGACTTCAGATTTTTCAAAAAGCTATTCTTATGCAAATTAATGGGACTAAAGTGCTTCTCAAAATACTTCAACAAAACGGGTTGAAATATATGTTAATATGCAAAATAAACCAAGATGCACTCGAAAATTTATTTTCTCAATTACGTGGAAGAGGTGGATTGGATGACCACCCTACACCTTTAAACGCCCTTTATAGACTGAGGATGTTGATTTTAGGAAAAAATCCTGGTATTAATTACCAACAAACAAATACAACACGTCAATAAAGAAGAATTTATGGTAGCTACAGCTCTTAAAAAAAACAAACTTAAAAATAAACAATGTTGAAAATTTAGATGAAAGTGGAAGTACTACAGAAAATGATAACGATTCTCTACAAGAAATTGACAATAAATATGAAATGGAAGAATATGCTACAGATTACTTGGCAGGTTGGATTGCTAAAAAATTTAAAATACAGTTTCCAGAACTTGGTTCGACTACAACAAAATGTAATTTAGAAAGCCCACTAGAGCATGACTATCAAATACCAACATGGATACATCATTTATCTTATGGTGGTTTAATTGCACCTAGTCAAGATTTCAAAAATCAAGTTATTAGAATAGAAAGGCTGTTTAAAAAAATAACAAAAAATCAAATCCCTAAAAGGCTTGGAGTTGTAAAATATCTGACCAATAAAATTATCCGTCAAATGGAAATTGAGGAAAAATACAAACCTGTAATTCAAACATACATCAAACAAAGAGTTTTTATTAGAATGAGATACTTAAACCAACATTCAAACTTATTAATTAAAAAACGAAAAGCAAAAGCACAATTACAGAAAATGAAAAAACTTAAAAGGCTGATGACATAAAGCATAATATCGGTTGTTAAATTTTAATATTTTAATTTTATCAGAACTTTATACTTATTATTATGTACCTAACACTAATTTTAAATTAACTATTCTGTTACAATTTTTTTTTTATTATCGAGTCATTAAAAAATATGTATTATGATAAACATTTTTCAATTATTATTTTTATTATTATTAAGTATAACAAATTTAAATGTACTTTACTTTGACTGAATTTTTTATAATTTGTGGCTTAAAAATTATGTTAAACATCCTATCTTAAAATAATTTGTATTATTAGTAGGATTTTATAATTATAGTCTGTAAAAAATATCAATTAATATTCTTTTGTTATTTTATGCATTGTCATTATAAATTATTGAAATGTACAATACCATGACTGATTTTTTCTCATTTAATAAAATAAAAAATAAAATACTATTTTTAAGATAATGTTTTTATTATTTTATATTATATTACAAATTAAACGTATTAGTTATTCCTTTATAGTCACACACGGTACTTTTTAAACACTATTTGACTTAGTAAATATGGCTGATGTAATTTATTCTTTATAATAATATATTACACATAATAACAAAATATCATTAAATATTATTAGGTATTGTAAAAAAAAAAGGCTATTATCATGTATAAAAATAGAAAATGAGTATGATATTATATTATATAGATGGCTTAAAATATATTCTAAATGTTAAACTCGAAAAAAAAATTTCTAGAGAGAAATTGTGTAAATTGTACGACGAAATACGTATAGAATATGGAGCCTCGGGCAGGCCACCGCCGATGTTGTACGACAATGACGTCACTAGGTCGGGAATGGTACAGGGGGTTTGAGTTTGTTTACATGACTATGAGGCAACCTTTAGTATCTATAAACCTTGGATTGTGATATATGTTAGTCTATTATCAATCATTGTATAAACTATCAACACTTCGTCGTTGGTGATTCGTTAATTTGTACGTTTTAATATTATATTTGTGTAATCCATACTTTAAATACGGCTTGGATGTTTATATTTTGTATGGTCACCTCTCTTTAAAGCTATATTCACACTAGCGGTCTCGGTTCGGTCCGGTCACGGTCAAGTCACGGTCAAGGATTATGATGTAGAGTTCTCACTGCCGATCATATAGCAATCAATTTTATTTTATTTTTAGAAGTCTATATTTATATTTATTTATATTTTTATGTTTAATTAATAAATAATAGTCTCTAGTAAATAAGTCTAGTACTCGTATATACGTAGTCTGACAGTCTGGTGTTTCATTAAATCCTGTCGTGATGGCATTTTCAAAGTATAATTTGATGAAAATTGCATTGATTCTCGACGAAGAAGAAGAAATGAGACAAAATAAACGAAGTAGACGATTTTGGGTTCACCCATTGGTCCGGACACGCGAGGAAGAAGGAGAATATACAACACTTTATCCCCTGTTAGTGAATGATGATGTAAAATTTTACAAATATTTCCGTATGTCCCATGAAGAATACATGAATATACTGTCGAAAATTGAAATTGATTTGAGAAAAGTGGACACACAATTTCGGAAAGCTATTTCTCCCACAGAAAAACTATCTGTCGGCTTACGGTAAGCGAAATCCTAAATTTTTATATTTTCGTGTGTTTTGTAAAATGTTCTCTTGTAATCAAAGTATAACACTTATAATTAATTTTAGTTAAAATATAATATATAAAAAGACGAACATACTTTGCGCAATGAGTAGGATAATGAATGATTTTAGAACACCAAATAGCCATTTTCACAATTAAAGTCAAAGTATTTGAGTAAATGTGTTTAAATAGTAAATACTCTCTTAATGTTTAGAATACTTTTTAAATACGTAATATAATAGGTATATTATTTTAAATTTGAAACCAATTGAATACATTTCGGAAAAGCATTTATTTTGGATCATAATAAATAATACACTTATTTTAAATTGATATAAACTTTTTAAATGACAAGTATTTTGATTACATTTTAATTGACATTAATTGTTCTATACATCTGGATTATAGTTACTAATGTAAGAATGAACACTATCAGCAGAAGAAGGTCGAGAGTAGGAAGTAGATGGGTTGCTTGTTTCTTCGTAATAAGGATTGATCTGGGGCCCAGTCGTATGTGAGGAAACAAATTGCTGTTGAGTGTTTGGTGTTAAATTGAAAACGTGTTCTTCAGTGGTCTGTGGAAATGATGTTAAACTATGGTGTCTGTATTGAGTTTTTTGTCCGTACCATTGCTGACTCTGAGGCTGTTCTTCACCAACATACTTTCCTTCTATATCACTTACAATGTTAAATACTTTCCGTTTCACTAACAACTTATCTGCAACACAAAATTTCTTAACTGTCCTTTTCATTGTATCAAAAAAAAGATCAATCTCATCTACTTCTTTTTGTTTTTTTTCTTCATTTATTAAATGCTTCATTAGAGTACTACTAGCCGTCTCTGGTTGGTATGTTTTTCTTTTCGTGCCCTGAGGAGATTTCCAGGCTCTATGGTTTTCATTTGTGGTTGGAGAGTCCATTTTTTTAAATGCAACATGAGGTGTTTGCTCGTTCGATTCCTGCAATATCTCTTCAGTATCATCTATTGTGTCTTCTAAACTTACAACGGAAGATATTCTTTCTTTATCTTTCATGTGGGGATGAAGAAATTGCATTTGTTCGCTATACTTCCAAGTGGGTTGCGACCCACCGGGATCACCTGTTTTAGGCTTTTGGTTGCGCAAATACTTCCTGTATTGAGAGCGTAGAGATTCCCAACGTTGCTTGCATTTTGCGGCATCTAGAACGACCAATTAATGATTGATAAAAAATGTAAACCAAAATAAATAAAAATTAATATTGTCTAGTGGTTCTTTTAATACAGAAAACGGAGAGCATAATATGTCAGATTAGATTTTCTTATTAAATACCTAATATATTTATATTTAATATTTATAGGTATTAGTTAGTAATTGTATAGTTTAAGCCTTAAAGTTAACTAAAATTTTGTAATATTATATTATTTTAATAAAATTATGTTAAATTATAGTGTACATAGACACAAAAAAACACACATCATTGTAAAGTCAATACATTTATCATTTCTCGTTCAAAATCTAAAAAATATTTTTATAAAATAATTTTTTTCAGATACCTAGCAACTGGTGATTCTTTTCAGACAATTGCATTTAGTTTTCGTATGGGCCATTCAACAGTTCATTCAATTGTTCACGATGTATGTAAATCAATAATTAAACAATTATTTGCTCAATGCATTCCAACACCTGACAAAAAGCAGTGGGAAGAAATTGCTAATAGATTTTCGTCCTTATGGAATTTCCCGAATTGCATTGGGGCCTTGGACGGTAAACACGTTCAAATAACTGCTCCTGCGAATAGTGGGTCTAACTATTTCAACTACAAAAGAACATTTTCTGTAGTTTTACTGGCACTTGTAGATGCTGATTATAGATTTATTGCTGTGGACATAGGGTCTTATGGGAAAAACAACGATGGAGGTATTTTCTCTAATTCAAAACTAGGGAATGCTTTAAACAATGGTACTTTGGATGTTCCTGGAAGTAAACAACTGCCTGGGTCCCATATTTCTACGCCACATGTTATTATCGCAGATTCGGCTTTCCCACTCAAAACATATATGATGAGACCATACCCTCAATATCGACATGATTTAACCGTAGATAGAAAAATTTATAATTACAGACATTGCCGCGGCCGACGCGTTGTTGAAAATGGTTTTGGCATTTTGGCCCAACGGTTTCGAATTTATTTTAGAACAATAACTTCCAAACCTGGTTACATAGAAAACATAATTCTAGTAACCTGTATTTTGCACAATTATTTACGGAACAATAGAATGTCATTAATAGAAAATAATTCTCATGGTGAGCTAGATCAAACTACCATTTTGAATGATTTACCATCTATTGGTATTAATGCCCAAACTGCAGCATTCAATGTAAGAGAAAAGTTTACGAACTATTTTAACTCAAATGAAGGATCAGTACCTAACCTGGCAATACGGATGCATTTGAAAATAAGAGTGTATTTACATAATGTATGTATCATTAAGAACTTAAAAAATAATATTCGATTCGGTTTTTTATATTTTTTTTATAAATTGTTACTATTGTTACTACTTAATTGTTATATTACCACTATTTAAAAAAATCAAAAATCTATGTTTTTTTATAAGCGTAGAAAGTTAGTAAAAACTTAATAATATACTTTATAACATGTACTCTCTAAAATCGATTTTGTAATTATGCTTTCGAGACTTTGGATGTATAGTGTTGTAACAATAATATATATTATTGTTACATGACACCTATGTATGTGTCATATTATCAATTCATGTGCGGGCAACTGGTGGACATTTATGCTTAGGATAAACATTGTTATGATTGTGAGGCCTGCCATGGCCAGCCGCACCGTTATCAGGCGATTGAGACTGACCCGTAATAAACCACGAACTCACCAAAAGCATAGGCGC